CTGTGAGGACAAGGTTCCTGGCGGTGTGGACAAGGTTCCTGTCGGGGAGGACAAGGTTCCTGGCGGTGAGGACAAGGTACCTGGCGGTGTGGACAAGGTTCCTGCCGGTGAGGACAAGGTTCCTGCCGGTGAATACAAGGTTCCTGGCGGTGAGGACAAGGTACCTGGCGGTGTGGACAAGGTTCCTTCCGGACAAGGTTCCTTCCTGTGAGGACAAGGTTCCTGCCGGTGAGGACAAGGTTCCTGGCGGTGTGGACAAGGTTTCTGTCAGTGAGGACAAGGTTCCTGGCGGTGTGGACTAGGTTCCTGCCGGTGAGGACAAGGTTCCTGGCGGTGAGGACAAGGTTTCTCGCGTTGAGGACAAGGTTCCTGCCGGTGAGGACAAGGTTCCTGGCGGTGTGGACAAGGTTCCTGCCGGTGAGGACAAGGTTCCTGGCGGTGAGGACAAGGTTCCTGCCGGTGAGGACAAGGTTCCTGGCGGTGTGGACAAGGTTTCTGCCGGTCTGGACAAGGTTTCTGGCTGTGAGGACAAGGTTCCTGGCGGTGTGGACAAGGTTCCTGATGTGAGGACAAGGTTGCTGCCGGTGAGGACAAGGTTCCTGGCGGTGTGGACAAGGTTCCTGCCGGTGAGGACAAGGTTCCTGGCGGTGTGGACAAGGTTTCTGCCGGTGAGGACAAGGTTCCCAGCGGGGAGGACAAGGTTCCCGGCGGTGAGGACTAGGTTCCATCCTGTGAGGACAGGGTTCCTGCCGGTGAGGACAAGGTTCCTGGCGGTGAGGACAAGGTTCCTGGCGGTGAGGACAAGGTTCCTGCCGGTGAGGACAAGGTTCCTGCCGGTGAGGACAAGGTTCCTGGCTGTGAGGACAAGGTTCCTGGCGGTGAGGACAAGGTTCCTGGCGGTGTGGACAAGGTTCCTGCCGGTGAGGACAAGGTTCCTGGCGGTGTGGACAAGGTTCCTGCCGGTGGGACAAGGTTCCTGCCGGTGAGGACAAGGTTCCTGCCGGTGAGGACAAGGTTCCTGCCGGTGAGGACAAGGTTCCTGGCAGTGAGGACAAGGTTCCTGCCGGTGAGGACAAGGTTCCTGCCGGTGAGGACAAGGTTCCTGCCGGTGAGGACAAGGTTCCTGCCGGTGAGGACAAGGTTCCTGCCGGTGAGGACAAGGTTCCTGGCAGTGAGGACAAGGTTTCTGCCGGTGAGGACAAGGTTCCTGGCGGTGAGGACAAGGTTTGTGGCGGTGAGGACATGGTTCCTGCCTGTGAGGACAAGGTTCCTGGCTGTGAGGACAAGGTTCCTGGCTGTGAGGACAAGGTTCCTGGCAGTGAGGACAAGGTTCCTGGCGGTGAGGACAAGGTTCCTGCCGGTGAGGACAAGGTTCCTGCCAGTGAGGACAAGGTTCCTGGCGGTGTGGACAAGGTTTCTGCCGGTGAGGACAAGGTTCCTGGCGGTGAGGACAAGGTTCCTGCCGGTGAGGACAAGGTTCCATCCCGGTGAGGACAAGGTTCCTGCCGGTGAGGACAAGGTTCCTGGCGGTGAGGACAAGGTTTCTGCCGGTGAGGACAAGGTTCCTGCCGGTGAGGACAAGGTTCCTGCCGGTGAGGACAAGGTTCCTGCCGGTGCGGACAAGGTTCCATCCTGTGAGGACAAGGTTCCTGCCGGTGAGGACAAGGTTCCTGGCGGTGTGGACAAGGTTTCTGCCGGTGAGGACAAGGTTCCTGCCAGTGTGGACAAGGTACCTGCCAGGTGAGGACAAGGTTGCCTGGCGGTGTGGACAATTGACGGCGGTCGGTTGCTATGCAAAATCCTCCCGGAAGCGCAGGCTCGCATTGTCAGCAGAGTAGCCATTAATATTCAAATTTCCCACCAAAATGTTCAAATATGGCGGCCAGCGATGTCTCTTCGAAGTTATCTAATCTAAACTTAGGCGAGGATAACAGTGAAATGGAGGGTCCAAAGCATTTTTGGAACCGAGCTTTGGTGACTATTAAGTTTAATTTCGAGCCTACCTGGCTTGACGCGACATGGAAGGGCAAACAAAAACCAAATTTCGGAATGCGAAATTTGCACTAAGCCGCGGTTACCGCGGTATTGCAGAATATACACAATATACTCCACCACTGCACCAGTATACACTGTATATTTTGTATACATATGCTTTACAGTGTATAGTCATCTACTATACACAATATACATGTAACAAACATGTCTATAGTCAAAACTGTATATTCTCGCAATCTCGCTTTTATCAACTTGCTATATAGCTAGTCTATATATATTGTGTATATAGTGTATAGACTATGGTATACATATACAAAATATACACAATATACATGTGTATTTAGACATAGTCAAAACAGTAGGCCTATATACTGTATATTCTCGCTTAATTTTATCAACTTGATTGTAAATATTAATGAATGCAGATATATGAAACGTTGTTTTGTAATCAAATATTCTATTACACATTTTAGCACTCAAACCGGTCTTAGGCCACTCCAAATTAGACTTTAGTTTCCCGTCCGGACCTTTTTGGGAATTAGACGCGGGCGGGCGGTCCATTTCCATTATCCATTATCAGTTTTTGAAGGAATTTGGTATAACCCATTTTTTTCATATTCACAATTTTAATATAAACATGCTTTAATAACTTCGGCTACCTTTCCACGTAATGTTTTACAGTTTTATATTAAAAAATGGAAGCAGAGCTGGATTATAAACTAAACAGTCAGATATAGATAGACGTTTAAAAACAAAACATGTAACAGATTTTGTGTACAGACGCTTTGTATGTAAATGGAACATTTTACAACTCTCACAACTGTAACTACAGTATGTTAATTTCCAGGCAAGTCCATTGATGTCGAATCGGTTGCTTAATTTAAATATATTATTTACAGACGTCAAACTAGAATACCAAACACATATTGTGCGAGTTTCTTTCCGTGTATCATGTATTAATACTAAAACTTAACTCAAAAAATATCTAGAAATATGAACTATGCCTCCAAAATGGCTAGTGTATAGTTAATTAACTGAGTAATTTATTACGTCATAGAAAATTCATTTCTTCTTCTTCTTGGCATTTGGAATCTTGGGCTTCGCAGAGCAACCGTCACACTGAGGATAATATTCCTCCAAGTCACTCCACGGAGCAACATCATCACCCGAACAGTGGACACAAATGTCTTCAAACTTAGCTGAGTAATACAGCTTCTCGACTGGCTGTTCGCAACCCATCCGGCGTACAAAAACAGTATCTTTAAGATGTTCCGGAATGTCAGCATCTTGCAACTGTGCCCCACAAGAAAAAGACATGCCATCTAGTGCACGCTGGATATTTGTCTTTTCCACTTGCTTTAACTTTCGCTTCGAATAGACCAGCCTCCACATTGAGCATTCTTCACACAGTAGCATCATCTGCGTATTCTTAACATGCTGGACACTAGGGTAAAACGGTAAGGCCTTCTCTTTTGAATTGGCTTTCGATGGACGATCGTCTTCCGTGGTTGTTGTCCCGAAGACCTCACCAAATGGTTTATAGTGACCATCGTTACCAGGAACAGGGTCAGGCAAATGCCGTAGCTTCGCAAATTCAGCTCCCGGGAGTCTAGGAGCGGGGCATGTAGAACACTCTGGATTTCCACATTTAAGGATGTCAAAAAAGTAGTGCCTCTCTCTGCAGCAGTGTAAAAGGAATTCTTTTACACCTTGGGTGACGTTTGTCGTATTCACTTTCTCGTCATGACCCAAATGGAATTCTTCGTCAAGAGCAGATAACGACGTCCAAAATTCATCGAGCTCATCCTCAGTTGCAGCGGTAAACACCTCGAACTTCTTTTCTTTCAACTCCAGACGACGAACAACATCACTGAGCAAAACCTTGACAGGAGTCAAGGCGTCCAAACAGGTATCTCTAAACTGTGGTTTTCCTTGGGCGACTTTGCGAAGTGCCTTGAGGCTGTTGCATTTTTTTGCTAGCGCCTCCATTTCGTCAGGCATTTTCGCCCTGGCCAAAGCCAGTGCTTGTAAGCCTAAGTTGATAATAGACATTATTCGCTCAACTGGATTGCGATAGGAATGATGAGGTGCAGTTCTTGCAGCGCAGAGGTAATCTAAATCCAGCTTCAAATAAAGTGCAATTAGCGCCAATTTGACAGAGAGGTACGTCAACCGATGATCTGGCCCTCCATCGGAATAGATGAAAAGGATTGGGTGGTTGGGAACTTTCTCCTTAATGATGGTAGCCATCTCTGTAGAGTGACGGGCTGGCGATGAAGGTTCAAATGCTCCTTCTTTCAACATCACCATAACTTGGCCATCATACCACGAACCACTGAACTCTTCTGGTATTTCTGTTTGAAGAACTACGGATGGGATAATACTGAACTTTGTGAAATCATGATCTGCTGCAAGTAACTGGGATCCAACACGAACAATAACTTGACGTCCACGTTCAGCGGAAGCGACAGGCAAGTCAGGCTCACCAACTTTGACTTTGTGCTTGTCATCTATGCTAAGAAATACTGAGTATTCTCTCATCAAAACAGCATACTCTCTCATAGCGATAGATACATGCAGCATAATGAGAGTCTGGATGTTGCTTTCTCCACTGTCGTTGCTGTACTCGATGTCTGACTTTCAAGCGCCCAGTATACCGAAGTGCTGTGCGCGTTGATGCATTGATAGGTGCAAACTGGAGGCGTATCCATTCATCACAAGGTATAGCAGTACCATCTGGGCATCTTGCAGAAACTTGTTCACGCAAGTCCCGAACAGATATGGCCTTTGCTACATGTAAAACAGTTGAATGTCTTCGATCATCAACAGCTGTGCCAATGTCCTCCTCGAGATATTCTTTGGCATTCGCCCAAAAAATGTCGAACTTAGTTTGCTTTCCATCGAAATGGTCACGCAGGTCATACACCAAAGAAGGCTCTTCAAGCTCAAACAATGTTGCAATTCTTCCGTCTATTTCAGATTCGCTGAGGTTTGCTGAAGCAGAACAATCGTTCACCAACTCTTTATACATAACTCTCAACACGGACTTTTTTGTTGTTGACATCACTAATCCAAACTTAGCATACATAGTTCTCCTCATGGCTCGAGTGTGGTATTGGGGAATGCTCTTCTTCAGTTCTTCAATGAGTGGTTGGGTTGCCTGCAAGGCATTGTCTATATTTGTTGCCGTGGAATGCCATAACCAATTTAAATTTCCGACATTTCCTCCTGGTGCATACGATACATGGACTAGTGGCACCTGCAGACCTTGTTTTAGGTCCATCAACCATTCATACCTCCTGCGTCGATCAGTGGGTAACAATAAATCAAGTTCTATCGGTTGGTTGGGGCCAGCTGTTTCTATAGCTTGATAGATTGGATCCAGATAAGGTGGTGGGGGCGATGAACGAACACCAGTAAATCGTACCGATAGATTTTGCCCGATGTCGCGAATTACCTGATTCGATTCATGAGCATTTTGCATCTTAATTCTTTTGGTCAGTAGTTGGTCAGCATAGCTGGCCAATGAACGTGCCAACTGATCCACTGATGGTTTCAGGCTTGTCCATTCTGACCGGATCCAGAAAGAATGCTGAAGAATTGCAAACAGGCTCTGGGAGTGGGCTAGAAGGACCTCTCTTGACAGTGAATTGGCTTGTCGTTTACGATGTTTGTGATTTTGTGGTTGATTATAGCCTTTAAAATTGTTAAAAACCTTTGGGATGTGACAGCTTCGCTCATGCAGTGTTGCGTGGGGACCATCAATGTACCACAACACATCTCTCAATACTTGAAGGGTTTTAGATGCAGTTCCTCCATGTACTTCATCTGCCTTCCACACAAATCCTTTCGATTCAAATAGTGAACGTAGATCATTGGTGAGTTGATCCAGTTTGTTTTTAATGACCAAGGGTTGAGGAAGATTTACAGTGTTACGTGTTGATTGAGCTAGCATCAGTATTTCAAATGCATTCACTACTGGCTGAGCTTCTGCGACCAAGCAACATTTTACATAGTACTTAATGTAGTGCCCAAACAGCGATATAACATCACATGTTGTTAAAGTGTTATCACCAAGGTTATCCAGAGATTCCTTGGAACTCCCTATTCGTACTTGCTCAATTTCACAGTGTTCCTTGTCAGTTATCAGCCTTTGTTTAACAATCTAAAATATTTAAGTCAACCAAACCAATGGTTAACTAATTACAATCTGGAGCTACAGACCTTAAAACTATTGAAGTAGAAATTGCTCTTATATTATATTTGGCCTCTGACCTGGAAAGCTGTAAACAACCTATTTTTATTCAGATTAGTGTCTCAAATAATGTACTTTATGTTGAACACATTGATTGAAGACACATTTTTTTTGCATTAGTGTTTAATATGCAGGTTTGTGTCACATTGTTGTTTTTACCACCAAGCCTCACTTTGGCACCAAGTGAACATGTAGCATCAAATCGAGGCTTTAATAGTGGCGAGAACAATAGCATGACATATTAAACCCGCATAAATTCCATCATCGTTCCCAGGGCTTCTCGGCTATCTGTGTTACCAAAAATCCAGGTGTTTGTTTTATATCGACACTCGCATTCTATTGGCCATTCCTGATCGAGTGACAAATCAATCTCTCTTCCAGTTCAGCTTGTCCCAGGGCTTATGGCAACACAGGCAGTCGAGAAGCTCTGGGAACAAGGATGCATAAATCTCATTTACAAAAACTGAAAATCTATTATCCAATAATAAATATATATAAAACACTTTTATATAAAAATAAAAAATATTTTTTAAATACTTATATTAATAATGACAGTTTATATTTATATTCTATTGAAAATGCAAATTGTATTGTAAACCAGTTTGCTTTCACCCATGGCCATGCAAAGTTGAAAACCCCGTGAAAACCCAATGCTTGCATCATCTCAATTTTAGGCTTGATTCGACACGAGTATTAAATAAATAATTTATCATTTTATAACGTAGCAACCAAATGAATATCCTTTTATTAAAAATTCAAATATTCATGATCAAATGATGTCGTCAGAATAATAATACATAAACTATTGACACTTACAGTTTTGTAGAAATCAGCGATGCTGCACCTATCATCTTCAATGTTTAGAATTGTCCAAGGAAGAAGGGTCTTGGAACAACTGCATGAACCATACACTGACACATTTACTAACATAATGTAGTAAATGCATACGTAAAATATCTGCCGTTGCATCAAAAAACCGGAGACATTGCATGTTTAGCAACAAGATTTCCCGCGGAAACTGATACGCGCCCTCACACAATTCTTCGAACTCAGCGGTTTCCGTAAAAGCAAACAAAATACTACATTATTTTTGTATAAAAATACAAATCATACTTTGAAGTTCGTGTATATTTATATCAACATAAATTTTTACGATTTTATTTTGATTTTAACGATAAATATTTACTTTTCTAAACAGTAGATATTCAAAATCAAATAATGGAAACAAAATAGCAATAATGGAGAAATCATGCGGCTAGTTTCAGCAGACGCGGGCGGTGGACGGGAAACTAAAGTCTAATTTGGAGTGGCCTAATATGTTGTTGTTTCTTTCTTAATTAAGAAACCTACACGCAATATATCAATATAATATGTTGTTGCTTCGTTCTCAAGAGACCACATTTATATAACGCGGAAAGGAAAGATCCTTATATCAATCATGATATAATATGTTGTAATTGCTTCGTTCTTAAGAAATCACGCAATATATCAATATAATATGTTGTGATAACGTTCGCTTAAGAAACGTTCCTTTGTTCTCAAGAGACGCGCAATATATCGATATAATTTTCCTTCGTTCTCAAGAGACCACATACATGGCACGGGAACGGGAAGATCCTTATATCAATAATATAATATATTGTTGCTTCGTTCTTAAGTCAAGAATTAACTCACGCACTATATCAACATAATTTTGCTTCGTTCTCATGGGACCATGCATGCGTACATAACACGGGAACGGGAAGATCCTTATATGAATAAATAAATATAATATATAATGTTGTTATATAGCAATATAATATGTTGTTCTTTCCTTCTTAAAGTAAGAAACCTACACGCAATATATGAATATAATATGTTGTTGCCTCCTTCTCAAGAGATCAACTGCATCCAATGGAAAAATAATATGCAAGTCAATAGACATTTCTTTTATCAATAATATAACAATATGTTGTTGCTTCGTTCTTAAGGTGGAGTAATACCAGCAACAAAATTGCTGCAACTTGCAACAAAATCCGATTTCAACGCATGTTAAGTAGAAATGTTGACACATGTTGCCTCCTGATTTGTAATGTGTGTGTGAACATTTTCAATTAACATGCGTTGAAATAAGATTTTGTTGCAAGTTGCAGCAATTTTGTTGCTGGTATTACTCCACCTTAAGAACTCGCGCAATATATCAACGTAATTTTGCTTCTTTGTCAAGAGACCACACGCGTACATAACACGGGAACGGGAACATCCTTACATTACAATCTTAGGCCTACATGAATAAATAAATATAATATGTTGTTGCTTCGTTCTTATTAAGAACTCACGCAATATATCATATAGCAATATAATATGTTGTTGTTTGTTTCTTAAATTAAGAAACCTTCATGCACGCAATATATCTATATAGCATAATATGCTATATATATGTCGTTGCTTCGTTTTCAAAAACCACGCAATACATCGTATATCAATATAATATGTTTTTATTTCTCTCTTGAAGTTGTGTTTACACTACAAGCCTTCGCCTGGCCTTGGCCTACACTTTGGCAGTGTAAAGTGTAAACAGACTTTGGCCTAGCCTTGGCCTAACCATGATAGCCAGGAAATCTGGGCAACTACAACCGGTGACCTAGGCATGGCTTACGCTTGTGGGAATGTAAACACTTACGGCACAGACTTTGTTTTTATGGAAACGTGTGTCCACAGGGCACAGTGAGATATTGTCGGACGAGCGGACAACGGGCAACACATAAAAATACACAAAATTAATTACAAAATTCTAGACCAAATTCAGCCAGTCTCAAAAAAATAATGTAAGGGTGTAAACGCGGCACATTTACCAAGGCTTGTAGTGTAAACAGGACTTTAGTGAAAGCTGCTAAAACTACCGCTGATGCGCAGGATACAGTATAACCGTCGTGGGAACAGACTATAAACTCACAAAGTCTTTGGCAGTGTGTGAATAGGCGACTTTTTTGTCGGAATACGACGTGTTATCATGCATTTAATTATAACGTTTCCTTCAATTAATTGCCTCCGGCATAGGCTTTACATCTTGTTGCGCTCTGCCTATATGTAGTTCATTTCATTTCGAACGCAAAGTTCTATTAGCCTAGTTGTTTTCTCAAATCTCAATGCATGGTTTAGATATGAGGATGGACATATATAAATATATTCTAGGGTTTGTTGAAGAATTAATATATTTCCCACACAACAATTTCAATGTAGTCTATCGCATATTTTTAGGTGTATATACCAACTGGACATATTGCCTTATGGCTTATATTCCATATATAAAGTTTAATTGTGTTATCAACCCTATATAAGGGTTCAATAACAATGCATGCAAGCGTATTTGACGTTGCAAATGCACAACGAATAAATGCAGTGAAGTGCTGAATAAGCATCGACACTTGACCACAACTCCAAGTGTATTATAAGCTACCTATATGGTAGAAAAAAGCAAATTGTAAGGAATTTTTTTTTTGTCTTGCTTATAATATTATTATGTCGCCAGTAAAAACCAGGCTTCACACATTGCATTTTAACTTCAGTTGAGCATTGGACAACACTTATGATGCTTTTTACTGAACAGAAATTATTCCACAAATTAAAATGGTTTTTTTAGCTAGCCTCCTCAGCAGCGCCCATTCCGGCTGAGAGCAGGCGGCTACTTTTTAGGGAAAACCGCAAATTTAGGGTATTTTTCGACTCATTACGACTTTTACGCAAGACTTTTTACGCACGAAAAACGACGTTTCACCCAGTTCCGCCACTGAAAACTCAAACATAACAGGCGGCATGCATTCAAGGCAAGTATTGATGTTCGACACGGATACATTAGCCTCATCATTATCCAACCCACTCAAACAGATTTTTGGGGGTTTATGTTCTTTTTTTATTCGCTGCTTGTATATTAAGCACTTATTAATTGCCACGACTTTTTACAAAGACTAATTAGTTTTTCACGCAGAAATTAAAGACGTCTTTCACTTTTGTTACTCTTCCAACACAATCTATCAGTTATATGGAACGTACTCGAATTTCAGGTCAACTGTCAAAGCCATAGATCCGTCTAGCTATTTACGCAAAGGCTATAATAACTGAATTTTTAAATTACATGTGGTTTGTATATAATTTGAATTTGCAATTCTGTGGCAGTTGTTGCAAGGAGCCCAAGGATTTTTTTCTGTCCTTTACTTAATAAAAGATAAAAAAGGTCGTATGGCGAAATAACATATGATGATACATGCATGTGTCGGCAAAATATAAATACTTCCTATCTTACACGTTCACCATAATCCATGACAACATATCAGTATATCAATAGTGTTATACTGACAGTCACTTCGTTTCCTATGCCAAACTTATATGCAAATTATGATCGTAATTGTATAACATCTCATCTTACATCGCGTCAAAATTGGTAAAAACTAGTCCTTGGTCAATTGCCAACGCCGTCGCTACTATTAAACTGCTCAGTTTCGTTAGTGCTGCTGCTACCAAGAAGAAATGAATTAAAAATGTATCAATACAAACTTTCCAGGTTTGACCGCCAGTGCAGTTTTCCTCACAGTTCTTCCACAGTCGAAAGCTTGTGTTCAAATCCAACATTTTTAAATCTTTTCAACGTATTTTTAACGTAAGCCAAAGTCCCCACGCACGACATATATGTTTCATAATTATATATCAAGACTGCATGGAAACGCCGAAAATGTAATTTACTCCTAGTCGGATAGAATTTCGCGGCGGCCTCATGTTTCATGCTGCTGTGTTTATAAATTTAAACTTATAACTTTGCCCAATATACTCTGTAGCGGCTTTACTAAAATGCTAATTCTTATTCTCTACATTTACACTAAAAATACGAGTAGAAAAACATAACAAGAACGCAAAAATGAATGAAAACAAGAATGATTACATATTTCAATATGCCAGCAGTCACTATCCACTAACTGCTCCGGCAATATGCACGCACGAATCAATCACTTGCCCTTTTGAATCCAACTTTCGCGTCTATGACTGCAACATCTTTAAAATGCTTTAATGTGTTTTAAGCCAAAGTCAGTACGCGCGAACGAAAGTGCAAACGAAAATCTTTAATACTAGTCGGATAGAATTGCGTGGCTTTTGACATATATTACAGTAAAATGTAGAAAACGGCCAAGCAGCAGAAGGTTTTATACTAATATTAACCTTCGCCCAAACCTCAAATATACATGTCTGTAGCAATAATAGTCACATTGTAATTTTAATTATGTAGATTTACACACTTTAACAAGAACGCGAAAAAATACTCAAAGCAAGTATGATTGAATATTTCCACATTCTGCAGACTCTATTCGCTAACTGCTGTAGCAATATTATGCCCGCACGCGAAATCACTTGCCCATTTGATCAATCTGACAAATATTTTTCCAACGGAAAACACGGTGTCCATTGGATCCATTGGATCCAATGGACAATTCGTTTGGCTATCTCAATGGCCTTGTATCCACATGACGTCCATGTGCTTGTCATTACGTCATTGAAATACATGGTAATTCACCAAATGAAAACGCAAATGTCCGATAGAAATTCCACTTGTCCACTGGATCCAATGGACACACAAAACTCCAATGGACATTTCCAGGGCCATTGGATCCATTGGATCCAATGGGCACTTTCGTTTGGCTATCTCACTGGCCTTGCATCTACATGATGTCCATGTACTTGTCATTACGTCACTCAAATACATGGTAATTGACCAACTGAAAAAGCAAATGTCCGATGGAAATTCCACTTGTCCATTGAATCCAATGGACAAACAAAACTCAAATGGACAGAAATCACTTGCCCATTTGATCAATCTGACAAATATTTTTCCAACGGAAAACACGGTGTCCATTGGATCCATTGGATCCAATGGACAATTCCCTTTGGCTATCTCAATGGCCTTGTATCCACATGACGTCCATGTGCTTGTCATTACGTCAAATACATGGTAATTCACCAAATGAAAACGCAAATGTCCGATAGAAATTCCACTTGTCCACTGGATCCAATGGACACACAAAACTCCAATGGACATTTCCAGGTCCATTGGATCCATTGGATCCAATGGACACTTTCGTTTGGCTATCTCACTGGCCTTGTATGTACATGATGTCCATGTGCTTGTCATTACGTCACTCAAATAGATGGTAATTGACCAACTGAAAAAGCAAATGTCCGATGGAAATTCCACTTGTCCATTCGATCCAATGGACAAACAAAACTCCAATGGACATTTCCAGGTCCATTGGATCCATTGGATCCAATGGACACTTTCGTTTGGCTATCTCACTGGCCTTGTATCTACATGATGTCCATGTGCTTGTCATTACGTCACTCAAATACATGGTAATTGACCAACTGAAAAAGCAAATGTCCGATCGAAATTCCACTTGTCCATTGGATCCAATGGACAAACAAAACTCCAATGGACATTTCCAGGTCCATTGGATCCATTGGATCCAATGGACACTTTCTTTTGGCTATCTCACTGGCCTTGTATCTACATGATGTCCATGTGCTTGTCATTACGTCACTCAAATACATGGTAATTGACCAACTGAAAAAGCAAATGTGCGATGGAAATTCCACTTGTCCATTGGATCCAATGGACAAACAAAACTCCAATGGACATTTCCAGGTCCATTGGATCCATTGGATCCAATGGACACTTTCGTTTGGCTATCTCACTGGCCTTGTATCTACATGATGTCTATGTGCTTGTCGTTACGTCACTCAAATACATGGTAATTGACCAACTGAAAAAGCAACGTCACTCAAATACATGGTAATTGACCAACTGAAAAAGCAAATGTCCGATCGAAATTCCACTTGTCCATTGGATCCAATGGACAAACAAAACTCCAATGGACATTTCCAGGTCCATTGGATCCATTGGATCCAATGGACACTTTCTTTTGGACAAATGGAATGTCCAATGGCCTTTTGATTTTTCCATCGGACATCTTGCATGGGTATTGGACATTAATCCAAACTTTTTGTCACCAACAACCATCTGTCATTTCTCCACACTCAATATAGTATGGTCCCTTTTGTAGATGCCCACCCCCCAGAGAAGTTCTTAAAAAAACCCTGTGTTCAAATCATTTCGTTGTATGAAAACGGGTCATGGGTTAGGGTTATGGTAGGACAAATGTTGCATTGCAAAGTAGTAACACATAATATAAATTTTTTAATCATATATGGTTGAATCATATTCACCAGGGTAAAACATCATGAGCTACATTAAACAGATTGTCCTAATATCTAACTTTACCTGCAACGCACACCTGTTTCATTGCTGTTAATTTTTCAATCCACACTGGGGGGGGGGGTCAGAAAAAAGTTTCTACTTTTATGAGGGTGAGGCACAGAAATGTGCCTGTCCACAGTGGGAATCAAACCTGTGGACAGGCATATTTTTCAAGCTTGCCCGGTGTGGATATACACTCAGAGTAACATCACAAGCATCATATTCGCATCAGGGATCAGTACATATTTACATCAAGACAGAAAATATCATTATTACTAGATTACGTTGGTATCGAAGGAACTAGATTCTGTTCCGAAATATCACATACTCTACCTGACCGCATAGCTCAGTTGGCAGAGCATTGGGCTAGTATTCCAAAGGTCATAGGTTCGATTCCTACCGTGGACAGGCATATTTTTCAAGCTTGCTCGGTGTGGATATACAGTCAGAGTAACATCACAGGCATCATATTCACCTGAGTACATTGCATCAAGACAGAAAATATCATTTGCTATAAAGTTGACATGTATACTTTTATATATGTGATTTGTTTGAAATGCAGTTACCTTAATAGCATATAGACAGCATTGCAATAGCCCATCACGGCATCTCCCAATATTACCCAATGTATCCCATGTGCTTGCTATGCCTATGGTAACCCTTCTATCGGTCAGCCTTTAACATTATATGTAAGGGGCTGCTTATATAGAGGCGAGCCAGTCCAGGTAACCTGGCTATAGCTTGCTTTCCCTGGACGAATGTCTATTTACATGAGCCTCTCTAGATGGGCTCATGGGCAGGCTACGCTCGCCAAAACAAATCACTCAGACTGAGTTGTGTAATAGCAGCACATTTTCCAATAAAGTAAACCGACATCATACTTTTGCAAACAGTTTCGAAATGTAACTGACAAAAACAATCACAGAGATCTTTTAATATTGAAATTGATTGGGAAATGTCATTTAGAAGATTGCATGTACCTAAACAAAGCATTAATACTGTGCCAAATCCTGGATCATTGTATATATAGTTTATATAGGAAATCCTAGCTTGGCATTAGCAAGATTTTGGGTCAATTGAGGCGGGATGTTCCTAAAACAGGCCAGCTCAATTCTAGTTATAAACACACGTTGAAAATATAGAAAATAATGACAAAGTCAGGATCTCCCAAAACTGGGCCAGCCCAGGTACACAGGTTGTTGGCTCACCCCATTTAAATATGCCCAGCCTAAATCTACCTGGCTGGATTATATAGATATTTTTCACTTAGGAATTTTGGAAAAAAAGTTATGCACCTCTATTTTAAGCACCCTTTACCAGAATAGTTGTATTGTACGATGTTACTTCAATTGCATGCTAATACATTAAACGAGTAAAAGCATTTGAATTTTCTATTTCTTGCTTTGTATACTGGTAGACAACCAAAAATAGGAAATTCGTTGTTAATCAAGTAATAATTTCCTGCTGTTATAAATCAATCTTTTCAAATTTTTTTTCTCCTCAATTTAATTTAGGGATTGTATTTAATATGGATTCATTATATATCCTGATGCTGAATGAAAAGTAATTAATAAAAGCTAATTCTGGACAGGAGAAGGCAAGTTGTCTAAGCAAGTTGTCCAAACAAATATAATATATATATTAGTCATTGTTAATGGCATTGGTTCATTCCAGAAAACATCCATATTACTTCCCCCACAGAGGAAATTGGAATTTAACCCCCCTACCCTTTCAGATCAGATCTACTAATACACTGTCTTACTATTATCAGAAACAATTTTTTAACACAACCCCCCCCCCAACCCACCCCTCCGGATGGTGGGAATTTCCTCTTGGGGGAGCGTGGATCTTTTCTGGAAAGACCAATTCTTAGTACTTCATGGTCTCTTTGAAAAATGTTATTCTTTTGCATGCGAGCATGTTTATGAATTACCAAACCATGCAAGGACTGGAGTTGCCGACTTGTGGTATACAGCTTGTTTTGACTAAAATTTAATTGATGGACTTGCATGACATGCTTGATTGAACAGTCACACTACGTTCATATTTTTCTTGTAAATAGTCTACATTGAACAGAATGTTAACCCTTTATGTGACAAATTTACTCATGAAGGAGAGAGTGCTGCCATTCAATAGGTTAAAGCCTTTCTGTAAATGGAAATTTTGAACAATAAATATGTAATAGGTACGTACTGTGCCGGGAATGGAACCTTTTGTCCTGTGATTCTGAACAGCTCTTTATCAGCCGGGAGACACTCAAGCCCTGAGAGTCCAAGCCCCAAGAGTCCATCAAGCTAACCAAGTGTTCATGTATATATGAATTATAAATGTTCACAGTAAAATTTTAAACAGAACAGCATGAAGCTTTTTATTTAGGTTTAGAGAATACATTTGCGCAGTGTATGCGCATGTATGCATGTGTAAATATTTATATCGTTTCTTTGATTTTAGTAGAGTTGGAAAACCGCTGTATTCTTGCAGCCTTTGCCATATGTGTTGGGGGAAAAGGCAGCAAGCAAACAAATTCCAGGGGAGATATTTTTCAAAGTTGTGAATGTAAGTCAATTTTGTATATTTTATGCCATTTTTAGCTGATTAGTAATGTCAGATCGAACTTATTAACCCTTTAAGCTGCAGAGCTTCTCCATTGACGAGCAAAATCGTCTGGCATTAGACAGGTAAAAAAAATGTAGGGCATGCTGGGGTGCATTGTGGCTCAATGGGTTAACTATAGACATTGTCAGATTTTTTTGTTAAAAAGCCATTAAGCTGCAGAGCTTCCCTATTGACGAGTAAAATCGTCTGGCATTAGACAAGTTAAAAGAGTAAGTAGGGCGCGTTGGGTGTTGTGCAATACAGTTGCAACATGCATGCACATACATACTAGGCTACCTGGAGATATTTGGTATAGTGGTGTTAAGTTTCCTTTGTAAGATCCTTAATGTTGCATGCATATATAATATATTCTCATTTTTTGTTTGCAGAGTGATTTTGAAATAAAGGCGTGTTCAACACCGCAGCTATTGGCAACCGGATCTCTACAAGAGATAAGTTCACTATGGTATAGTTGCCATATTAAGAGGAAGTACTATAATCAGCACTAATATATGCTTATTAGCAGCGCATTTTGTTTTTAATGCTGAATACCGCAATGGCCTTGGCAATGTTCCTCGGGCATATTCTACTGGGCAGGATTGGTCAAACTCTGCCAATTGGTGTTGAGGACTTTCTAGCACTATTGTGAAGAACACCAACTGTCACCAAGTGTGTAATGGACTATAGAGGACAAGCTAGAACTAGGATTATATGGCGATCGATTGATGTAACATAATGAGAGATTGAGACTGCACAAACAGGGTTGCATGGTGATCGCGATCTAATTAATGCTAAGCTAAGTGCTTTGCATTGCTTTCATTATAATATATAATACGTGACTATCGCCCGTATTCTAAAAGCTCACTCACACTCAATGAGTGGAGGTTCAATCTGAGCTTCTCTTGAGTGTCAGTGCTGTGTTTAAATAGCTGAAGGGTTAGTGTCGTATACCTTACTATGCGACTACTCATCCTCCAGCTATTCAAAAACAGCACTGACACTCAAGAGAAGCTCAGACTGAACCTCCACTCATTGAGTGTGAGTGTGAGCGTGAGTGAGCTTTTAGAATACGGGCGTATACCATGTAACTCTCTAGCCTATGTGTCAGTAACAGTGTAGTCAATATAGTAACACTATACGTACTACTGTGTACTTACTGTAATTTTAGATGTTACAAAATATATTTTTATATAAAGTTCATAATATTGTTTGATTATATATAGCGTACTTGGATGATTAATTGCCTGCAGAATTATTGCCCTATTTAGTTTTAGCTTATCTTATTTAGTTGACGCAACATAATTTAACCAACGAAAGTGCGCGCTGGTTCGTACTCCGACCTTGACCGTTATTTACTGGTTGTGATAACTAAAAAAATTGGCCAAATCAACCAAAATATTATTGGTGAATATCCGTATACCATTTGTATTATAGTTAAAACAACCTATATTTATTTGGTTGAAATATGCTCAATTTGACATTTAAATTTTAGTCATTTTATTTTGAATATAGGTTGGAATTACTTTTTTAATTGGTCAAAATAACCATAAATCTTTAGTTCAATCAAACAATAATTAATAGGTTAAAAGTACATATTACAGATTTATAGGTTAAAGTAACCATTTGCGATGGTTTGCTTTAACCTATTAAGGTTACTCCACATGATGGAAACCTATTTCACCAAAATGCTCACCGCGCGCTCAATTTTCAAGTTTTCCCCTTCAAATTTTGCATGCATTATGATAAATCATTGCTGTAGCTAAAGATTTGCCAAAAATTCTACACCTTTAAAAACTGTACTTGCTACGGGTTGCTTTTGAAAATATGACGGCCTTTGCGCCACGAGATTAGAACGCTTCTGATTTACCTCAAAGGCTTCCGACTAAAAAGTGATCAAAGAACAAAACCGTGTTCGCGTTTTTTGACAGGTATTATATTTGCTTTGATATAAAGCAGAGAAGTTGACTCATCTAAATTTTGGGAGAACGGCAGAATATATGCCTATAACTTGAAAAGTATGGCACTAAATAAAAAACGCGAACACGGTTTTGCTGCTGTACTATTGTTCAACATTGTGGCAAAGTTTGGAGAGAATCGGATAAAACGTGCGCGTTTCTAAACAATTTTTGTGGGGACAATCTGAGAATATTTCAATCTCCGTAAAAGACGATATTAGGTTTGGCGGGGTTTTTCCGCTCGCTGTTATCACCTCGAACTACAATCGGATTAAAATTAGTAAAGTGTGTTTCGGCAAGGGTTTTCGGTGTCATTCACTTATCATCAGTTTATCACAAACCGTACATGCGAGAAACCACGCGAAAAAACTTGCTAATATGCCGGCGAAACGCAAATGTAAAAAAGGGATAGCTATACAGACCGATCTAAATCGGCCAAACGAAAATACAGTTGAAGATCTGTCGTGCACCACGAAGACACAAGCGAGGTTGAAGGTCACACATCCAGTATCGAGTATCACATCAAGCCACATATTGTCAATTACAATTACAACTTTCGCGGCAAAGGAATCAGTGGTTATAACATTAGACGCATTTTAATATTTTTGAAAAAAACTTCCGGCAATCGATAGATCTCCAGTCCCTGAATATAAATCAATAAAAATGTAAAAAGTTATGAAATCAGTGTTTTCATCATATAATGTAACCTTAAAACAACCTATTTCTTATGGGTATAAACCAACCCATTTTTAATGGTTTGTTTTAACCTATTTATTTTCGGTTCTTTTAACCTATTGAAATAACCTATATTTATCGGGTTGTCCTAGACCAAACCAAATAACCTATTTTTTTGGTTATTTTAACCTATTAGTTTTTACAGTGCACAAGGCGTCTGGACCAGACAATCTACCAAACTGGATTTTTAAAGAATGTTCTTATCTTTTGGCCCTTCCTGTCATGAAAATTATCAATGCTTCCTATTACGAACAGCAGTTGCCTACCATCTGGAAGAAAGCAAATGTTTCGCAGTTACCAAAAAAAACAACCAGTGACTATATTGGAAAAAGATCTCAGGCCTATTTCCCTGCATCTCTAAAGTGGCAGAGGAATTCATTGTTGAGGATCATGTTAAACCGGCAATTCTAGACATAATCGATGCTAGTCAATATGGAGCGATTCCAAACTCGTCAATCACTATGGCGTTAATTAGTATGCTGCATCACTGGTTTAGAAACGCTGACGGGAATGGGGCAACAATAAGGGCAATATTGTTTGATTATCGCAAGGCATTCGATTTTACCGACCATGCAATTCTTGTAAAGAACCTGGGTAATTTGAACATACCTAGAAGTATAATTAACTGGATAATAGATTTTCTTTCTCATAGAATGCAGAGAGTCAAATTGGCCGATAGCTGTTTTTCTGAGTGGGGCCTTGTTCCGTCTGGTCCATGGTTTTTTATTTTAATGATCCATGTGGAAATTCGTGGATGATACCACAGCATCGGAAATTCTTTCCAAAGGCAATGTTAGTAAAGCCCAAAACATTGCAGAACATATTAAGCAATGGTCAGAAGAAATTAGATTAAAGCTACATCCAGACAAATGTAAAGAATTGAGAATTTCGATCTTTTAGTTGTTCTAGATCTAGTCATACTTAATGGTAGAGAAGTCAAAATAGTCGTAAGTGCTAAATTATTGGGAGTAACAATAAGTAACAATCTAACTTGGCATGCCCATATAAAAGAGGTCGTCAAAAAAGCCAGTAAGAGACTATATTATCTGGTTCGATTAAAAAGAGCTAGTTTACCAGTTAAAGATCTTGCGTTATTCTATACGTCTTGCGTTAGATCTGTCATGGATTACGCAGTACAAGCCTTTTATCACTCCTTTCCATCATACTTAAAGAACGAATTGATTCGACTGGAAAAAGGGCTATTTCAATAATAAATCCAGGAATGGACTACTCTGCAACAGGAGAAATATTGAACATCAAACCAAGAGAAGAACACCATAATTTCTTATGCAAAAACTTGTTTGATAATGTTACAAAGGATCCAAACCACAAACTTTATGACCTCCTCCCACAGAAACATAACTGGTACCACGATCTCAGAAATGGTCATGAATTTGACATTCCTCATTTTAATACTAATCGTACTAAAAACTCTTTTATATTTGCGATGGTATCGAAGATGTCTTCGTAACGTTAGTGGTATCTTTTTTATTATCATCCTAGTAAAATTTTAAATATTTTCATAATTTTAACTTAATAATTATAATAGTAATTAAATAATATTTCGTATTTTGTAAACTTTACGTATAATTCAGCCTTTGGCTGCAATGTAAATGTTTTATTAAACTATCTATCTATCTATCTATCTATCTATCTATCTATCTATCTATCTATCTATCTATCTATCTATCTATCTATCTATCTATCTATCTATCTATCTATCTATCAATCTATCTATCTATCTATCTATCTATCTATCTATCTATCTATCTATCTATCTATCTATCTATCTATCTATCTATCTATCTATCTATCTATCTATCTACAACGGCGATAATCGCGATATCCTTGGTGAAATAATACAGAAGAACAGTGACTCAATGAATGTGAATGTGAGTGATTTATTATTTTAAATACATTTTTTATTTATTTATGATATTCATAAATTATAGGCATAGTGTTTCTTTTGGTTTTTCGCCCGCCATGTGTTGTGTTATATCCAATACCACCACCCTGTTGTACAGTTTTGTTGTTTCCACTATTACCGTTCACCCATTCATTACATATATCTTTACCAAGACGTCTTACACGTTTTTTACTAGCATTGATACGTTGTTTGGTTTTTCTTTCCTTTCTTTTTTGTTGATTCCAATAAATATGAATATATTCTAAAGGGTCACTTCTACCACCACGTTGTTGTTTTTCCCCATTCTTGCATAAAATGATTTTTTGTATTATGTTGTAGGGGTATATATATTTTAGTTTTTTCCCAATATTGTCGACCGTATGATGTGTAAATTTCACGAATGGGCGGTATTGTTTTTGTTGCTTTTAAATGAAAAAATGTTTGGCGACCTTTTAATCTAGCGTTATTTGAAAACGGCGTACGGTAACTGTCGTTAGCAAATCTTGCAGCGGCATCGGTAATATGATTAGCGTCGATACAATTACCTTTTTTATCACAAATTGCATATTGTGCAACAGCATTACCATATTTTTTATCAAGTTGTGCTTTTGTTCTTCGACGACCTGTGTATTTTGATATTACACTACCCGCAGGTATTGATTTTTTCCAACTAAATAACCTTTTCTAGCACCGATAATATTAGATTGTTTAATTCGTAAATTATTTTGTTTGGCTAAATGAATCCAACATTTTTCAGTATGTGCCGTTCTTTTACGACATCGCTGATCGCGTAAAGTATTGGAAACACATTGTTTTGATTTACGAATACTTGGTGTGCTTTTTCGTTGTCGCGATATTCGTTCTATGTATCTGTCTGCAAAATTAGAAATAAATCGATATCGACGTCCATCCATTTTTTTAGATGGAATAAATAACATTAAATCCCACGTATTTATTTTGTTCTGAGTATTTCTCAACGTATTTTATTATTGCTTCTATTTTAACCTTCACATCTGGTGAGACACAAGCTATGTTCTCGAAGACTTTCAGTCTATAAAGCAGTATATCGGGTGTATATCCAACTATATGCCCATTTTATTCATCGAAATTGTGAATACATTCCTTTAATTAATATAACAGGTGAGAAAAGAATATTTGGATCATTATCCTCAGTTTTCGATATGTATTCGATCACATACTCCACTGAGGGTCCATTTAACTCCACTTAAAAGAGTAAAATATAACCGAGTAAATTTTACTCATAAACGCCGAACGGAATAACGGAGTAACTTTTACTCATAATCAAAATAACGGAGAAAATTTAAGTAGGAGTAAAAATATTGAGTAATTTTTCGCCTGGTTTTTTCTCGGCCTGTGTAATATAACTCGCAACCATTTTACACATAGGAATTCATAGGAATGACAAGAACTACATTCAAGTTTCTTCAACCTTGAATTAGGGCGATATTTGCTATACAAATTCGTAGTGAAAGCCTGCAATTCCTTAGCCTGCGTAGCAAGCGGTAGAAGCTAGAAATACCGCCTGCCCAAAAACTACACATTTTGAGTTCCGCCCACCGAAGTACCGAACGCATGGTCCCGCCCATCTTAATGTATTTATTTTAATAATAGCATAGTTGCCCGGGTTTCTTTTGTTTCAACAGGGACGTTTAATCACGTATCGCCCGCTGTAGCGGGCGATTAGTTCTAATCGCCCGCTAGAGCGGGCGATTAGAACTAATCGCCCGTTACCAAGGGTCACACCTTTGTCTCCCTGACGACTACGCATTAGGCAAGTGCCTCACGCACATAATCGTGCAAGGAACAGCAACAGTTAGCTCAGAGCCGTCAATAGTCTATCATCCGATCCCTGAGTTGCCGCATCATTTAAATTACGCACGTGCAGTCTCCAAATTTATACTAATATATTTAGCGTGTTTGTTGTGGTACGTTAAATGATAGATTGCGCATGCGTAACCGATTAAAGCGTAAAAAGTGCGCATGTGCAACAAGCTTTTACATCCCACAAGCAATGAAGCAAATGTTTTAGCTTAAATACGCTGATTCCAAGTAGGGCATGTTTGTCCATTTTTAAATGGGAGCGAAACTATGCTATTACAAACTAATAGCATGGCTTTTCGGGAGATTAGTGATTAAATGACCCCTTACCCTCGGCAGGTTTGCGGAATTCCCTCGGGCTTCGCCCTCGGGAATTCCGCAAACCTGCCTCGGGTTACGGGGCCATTTAATCACTAATCTCCCTCAAGCCATGCTATTACTTATAATTATTTGTCAAACTCACGTATTTGCACCAGTGCAAATATACGGCTTCGAAGCCTGTTCTAAACGTCGCATTTTACATGCACCGAATGCATTCAAAACAATGCCAATGGATAATGAGACATTTCAGCTGATTATCTATTGTTTTGAATATATGCATTCGGCACATGTAAAATGCGACGTTTAGAACAGGCCTGACGTTTCATATCTTCGGTTCATTCAATGCTATGAAGACAAAAATGCCACGTTCGATTCAGTGTAACAATATGTCCTCATTCATAGCGATAGTTTTAGTCGATGTCAACATTATAGCGATTTATGAGCTTTGAAAGTCATGCAAGCGAGTTCGTGTATTATCAAATTACGCAATTGTCTGAACAAAAATATAATAGACTAGCCATACCTTTCGCCGAACATAACTTCGGCCCCTTCGAATTCGGACGTAACTTTGTAATAGTCTTGTTCCAATCGCTATCAAAAACACTACTTAGAGTGTCATTTACGAGCCTGTATCTTCAAATATGCACTTTTATCACGGTATCACATCTCTCAAGCAACAAATGTTGGATTGATATTCGTTGTTCATTCTTCAAGACGAAGCGATTTCCGATTCCAGATAAAGATTAAAGAATTCAACGCTTAATTCTCGATTAATACATTCGTTATTTTTTGGTTAGTGTATGCCATCACTTGATATATCGGTATCAATTACGAAAATAACAATAGTTTATATTATAAATACGGCAGCAGTAACTTCTAAAATTAGCACTAGTTATTCTAATTCTTTACTC